CTTGCGCGGGTGAGGAGCGGCGCGGCGCGGGGCCGCGGGTCGGGCGGCGCGCGGGGCTCACGCCGCCTCCTCCTCCTCGTCCCCCGCAGCTCCCCATCACGCTCGGCGTCTTCCTCAACTCCTACTACGACGTGAAGTTCAGCCCGGTGGGCATGGTGTTCGCCACGCTCGGCGTCCTCGTCACCTCGCTCTACCAGGTGGTGGGTACCGGCTGCTGCCCGCGCGCCCCCGCGACCGGCCCTCTCCCGCCCGCAAGGCCCTGCCCTTGCCTTGTCGGGCTTTCCAGCCCCTCGGCCATTTGCAGGGCTTATCCCTGAGCAATTTCTATCCTGTCGACGTCCTCCTGCGGTTCTCCGGACGCGGCGGTCAGGTATTTCCGTACAGGTTGCGCCACGTGCCAGGCCTAGGCACAGCGTAACCCCTCTGCTTGGTTGGCCCTCTCCCTGTAGAGCGGGTTTTCCAGCCCTTGGGTTATTTTCATGGCTTATCCATGAGGGATTTCCATGCCCCTGTTCCAAACACAGCCGTCCGGCATTTCCTTGGAGGTTGCACCAGTGCCAAATACAGACCCGGTGTAACCTTTCTGATGGGTTATTGTTAAAAGAAAAATAGGTGCATCCAAAAGGTTACCTTAGCCCATTGCGCCATAGCATTGTACTAGATATATCATTGCATATATACTAGATATATAGATATCTAGGGCTACAGCGTGCTAGCAGTAAAGCTCATCACCTGCCTTGACTTCAGTAGCCTCCCAAGTTCCCAAGTTAGAGTTGGTTGTCATAAAACTAACACCAAATTTCTTTACAGTGCATACATTGTGCTTTCAAAAGAGGCAAGGCTGTTGGGCCTGTAGTTTGCAAGATGCTTCTTGTCCTGTTTTGGGGCAGAAGAGCAGAGAGAGGCTGCAAAATAGCTTCAGGCAATAGAATAGTATGTGTACTGGAGAAATGTTAGTACTTGAGGTACTTGAGGGAAATTTACTTGTAAGTTACAAGAAAACATAGGAAGTCTTAAGTTGTGTACACTGGGTGGCCTGTTACTCATAATTTTGTACTGATAGTTTGTGAGAAATTAATGTCAGGGTTATTCTTAAGTGCCCTACTAAGATGCATCCTTTTTGCTTGTAGCATTTATTTCATAACGATACATAGCTAATGCTGCCTCTTCAAGTGTGCTGTATTGGAAATCCAAGCTATGATCAATACTGAAATCTAATTCAGTAGATTTGGGAAGAGCTGAAAAGTATGAGAAATGGTTACTCTTCTGTTAGCTTCTGTGTGGAGGAAATACAAGAAGGGAGAAATAAAAGTCACCGGTTTTCGTAGCCTTTTTTAATACAGTGTTTTTTAAAGCTGTGGAAGTATTCCTAAGAATAAATTCCAAAGTTTCATCCGTGAAAGCAAATCAATTCCTTTGAAAAGCAGCATAAATTACGCCCTGTTGAAATACGTGCCGGTTTAATATCTCTTAAACTGATGTGTGCAATCACAATACTATTAAGGCTTCCATTTATTTCCTGATGTGACACATGAAGACGGTTGGCAGAAGGGTAGTCCCTGCAATGTCACTCGCTCTGCTCAAGCAGAGGAAGATTCTGCTTTGTGGGAGACAGGAATTTGCTGCGAGAATAAAAGGCAGCTCTCACTTTTCCTTTGTTTTTCCCCTCTCCCGTTTAACGGCTCTCCCTTTGGATCCAGTGGGTCGGGGCCAAGCAGCACGAGCTGCAGGTGAACTCCATGCAGCTGCTCTACTACCAGGCGCCCATGTCCTCCGCGGTGCTGCTCTGCGTCATACCCTTCTTCGAGCCCGTCTTCGGGGAAGGGGGCATATTTGGGCCCTGGACGCTCTCTGCTGTGGTAAGGCTTTCATTGCTCTGGGGCTTCTTAAATCACAACTACTGAGGAATTTACATGTCATGACTGATACTGCCTTGTTTCTTTGCAGAACAGATTCTTTGTACAAGCCTTGACTATAATGAGATGAGGGGTATGGGGAAAGAGAAAAAAAATCCCTGTTGTTTCTGTCCCACCTTTTCTTAAATGAGTTCCTGGCAATTAATATGTGTTTTTATTCTTGTTTCTGTTTAGAGGGCATCTGAACAGCAGGAAAATTAGACAAAAGCCCAGAAGGTTGTTCTAGTACGTTAAAATTATACAAATGCCCAATTCTGGGTCTAACTTATCAGAAAAGACAAGCGTGCTGCTCTTCTGTGGTTATTCTTCAGAATTACTGATTTATTGTAACAAAGAGGGTTGCAATTTCTCTCCTTCTCTTTCTGTCCTCGATGTCACCAAAAAAGTGTCATATTCTCAGCTGCTGCTGATCCCCCAGTCAGTGGTGGGTGCAAGGTCGTTTCTAGTAGTGCTGAAGTTTATGAACAGAAGAACAAGTGTTTACAATAATAAGTTTTTTTTTTTTCAATATTTGTGTGTGTGCGTGGCTATAAATAAGATTTCGCCGGAAAGGTAAAGATGGCAACTTCTGCACATGCATAGCTAAATTTTTCAAGCTGCTCTTAAATGTACGTAGAAGGTAAGAGAAGGTTGTAGTTCTATCAGTATGTATCTGTGGGCATCATACCCCGAGTTACTCATATCACGTGCGTATGCAGTGATTTGAAACTTGATTTCATTTTTGTTCTCAATTTGTTTTTCTTGGATGACATTTTGCCATTGTTGAGATAAAGGAACCACAATAAATAGTTTGGAATGTATCTACAGATGGCCAAAAAGTATGTTGGCTTACTGACTGTGTCCATTAATCCACAGATAATGGTACTGCTGTCTGGTATAATAGCCTTTATGGTAAACTTGTCCATTTACTGGATCATTGGAAATACGTCACCTGTCACGTATCCTTTGTAATATTAGTTGCTTCTCTCGTTTCCCAAAGAATTATGTTAGCGTTCATTCCCACTGATTTACTGTGGGAAAATTGCTCGGTTACCCGCCTGCCTTATCTTATATATTGAAGCTGGACAAGCAGGTTCCATCCCTGGTGTATTTTGTTTCCCTGTAAGAAGTTCTGAGCCTCTAATGTGACCCTTGTGCCTATAAAGAGCATTTGGTCGCCCTGGGGAAGCGAGGGGTGCTGGGGAGAGCGCGGTGGAGGGAGGCTTCGCACGGAGCTTAATGCCCAGAGCTGCAGAGACAGTTGGAAGGTGCACAACGTGACATAACATTGCAAGGTTTGAACATAATCAGTGCAGTCCCCACGCGTTCCTATTTACAAAGTGCTGTATTTGCTGCTGTCCTTAACAGATGTCTAGATATAACATGTTTGGACATTTCAAGTTCTGCATCACCCTCCTGGGAGGGTGCGTCTTGTTTAAGGATCCGTTGTCCCTAAATCAAGGCCTTGGGATTCTGTGCACATTGATGGGTATTTTAGCCTACACCCACTTCAAGCTGAGTGAGCAGGAAGGAAGTAAGAGCAAATTGGCGCAGCGTCCCTAAAGCAGGATTTTCTGGAGGTTAACAGCATTGTGAGGGAGAGAAAACATTTAAATGCATTGATTTTAGGATGCATTATTCAGCTAGAGCTGTTTTTAGTTTAACTGCCAGGGCCGTTATTCTGTAACTAAACACAACACTATGAATTATGTGAGGGGCTGGGGCTTTGCCATCTTGCCATCTGACTGTTTTCATGAAATGGTGACTTAAAAAAAGATAATGGTGCACTTAAAATTGCTATGGAAATTTTGCAGAAGTAGTTAGGATTTTTGCATATTAAATGAGATCAATAATGGCTGCTCTTAAAATAGAGAGAGGGAACCTTGCCCTTGTACTCATGCCAGTACTGCTGTTATGAAGAAACCTGGAGGTTTCTGTCCCAACCTGGAGGTTTCTTCATAAAAAAAAACTGCTTTTGGGCAGGTGCTCTGGTGTGTAAAGATGCTCCTTCTTGTATGGGGAATGATGAAGAGAAAACATGTGCTTAAGTGTTTTTAAAAGGGCCACCAAACTCATTCCTAATTCTCGTATTTTTTTTTTAATGTATATTTGGCTTAAGTACATTTATAAATTTCAGCTGAAGGTATTAAATAACATTATTAGTGGAGTAAGACTGGAAGGATACATTGGAAAGCTTGAAACCAAGCTGTGGAAAAGTAGGAAATCAGATCTAAATGGTTCATCATGTTTTTTTGGATTTTTTGTTTGTTTGTTTTGTTTCTCTTTCTATTGATATGTAAAGACATTAATGAAGTCCTTAGTATTTTTAAAAAAAAAAAAGTTATTGCTTTACTATTTTCGTTATGCCAAAGGATTTTCATGAGACCTTGTAAGTACTTGTGAGCCTTAATAAAAATCTCTGAATTTGTGATAATTGCCCATATTTTGCAGCCGACCCGGGCAGGTGCCTGTGCTAAAGCAGCTCCCGGAGGCACCTTCAGGCTGCTCATGCTCTGTAGTGGCTGAGAAGGGCCGTCTCTCAGTGTTACAATCTTCTCCCTCCTCGCTCCCACATCCTTCTGCAGGGGTTATGATAACCCTGTGAGATCCGCGGATTTCACGGTCCTCATCTCATCATCCCGTCGGAGGGAAGGCAGTTCTGCTGGGCAATGCTTATTCATCCAAGAGCCCTCTGAGCACCTTCCCAAAGTGAGGGAAGCATGTGAGGTGGCAGCCACTTCTGCCTTAACTTGAGAATACCCTGAAAACGGGTTTATGGCGGTATCCAGCACTCGTTTTTGGACCACCTGGAAGGAGGGAGGAGTTCTCTCTGTTGTAGATGCTCTCTCGTTCCCTGCGCTTTCAGTAAATCAGGTGAGAGTCGTGTTCGCCAGACGGTCGAGCTCGGAGTTCATTTGCAGTATCTTAATCCTTGCATTTGGGGTTTATTTTATCTTCATCTACCTCTAGCAGATTTAAAGAGGGAAAATACATGAATAAAAACAAGTGTTTGGGTTTTCCAAACACCAACAGGAATGGCAAGATATTTAGTTCCTCTAAGATTTTTTTTCTTTTTTTTTTTTACAATGGAAATAGTAGGTCTTTGATGTATAAGAAACAATGCAGATCTTTTCAAGCTTGTAAATTATTTATTCTGTTACAGAATTCTTGTTTTTAAAACAAGTTATTTCACTGTGCAACCTAAGTTTACACTGTCTATTTACACTCTATATCTTCTCAAAGCTAGAAAGATCTGAATAGTTTTATGTCTTTACCAGCTGTGTCTTAGACATTGTACAGGTTCAAGGAGATTTTTTTTTAATACATTTTTATAAATCTGTAATTGGTTTAAAAAATGCAGCCTGGACTGCTGCAGGTATGTTCAGAACAGGATCATCTCTGGATGCAGATCCTTCAGCAGGGGCACTGAGAAAGGCGTTTGCACTGATTTGTGCTGTGCACAAGTTCTTCTGAAATGCAGACGCCCCACAGAGACATCGTTACACTCGCAAGTAAAACCACAGAAGCCTGTATGATGACAAGACTTGAGGTGGGACTGGTGTTAATATAGAGTAGCAGAATGAACAGAAAGGTCTGAGAACGTATGCGCAAGACTCCTTAAGGAGAGGAGCAGATCTGCAAGAGAAAATTAAGAAAATAATGTAAGATTTTATATTATAAACAGTCTGTGTCTGGAATGTGCAAGTCTTGAAGGTCACTTAAGTGACATGATATTTTCTATATGTTCAATAGCTGTCCTTTGAGATACACCTATTGTGTCTAACAAATAAAATATGTTGAACTTTTTCTTTGTGATATGATTCAGCTGGCTTCACAATCATGAGATAAATGAATCTCTTCTTACAGATTGTTTCTTTGGCTACTCTATGTTGGGCGGAAATTCAGTTTTACTTGACTCATTTCTGCTTGTCGTGTGGGAGGACGGTTGGTTCTTTTCTGACTGAATCGTCTGTGCTTTGGTGGCCTGGGCATACACTGCACAAAGTGGTGGCGCTCTGGTTTTTGCTCACATAAATGCAATGTGAAGGGTACAAGTTGAGACACAGGAAGTTCCACCTCCACATGAGGAAGAACTTCTTTACTGTGAGGGTGACAGAGCCCTGGAACAGGCTGCCCAGAGAGGCTGTGGAGTCTCCTTCTCGGGAGATCTTCCAAACCCCCTGGATGCCACCCTGTGCCACGTGCTCTAGGTGACCCTGCTGGAGCAGGGGGGTTGGACTGGATGATCTCTAGAGGTCCCTGCCAACCTCAGCCATCCTGTGACTCTGATTTTGTGTTGACTCTGGGTTTGTGTTGACGCTGAATTCCTGGCACGTGAGCGAGGCTGCTGGCTCCGCTTCGCTTTCCCGTGCAGATACACGCGTGCGTATGGGGTGCAGGTGCGCGCACGACGATCAGCTGCGTGTCTGCTGCCCTTCACCGCCTTCTTTCCCCCTCCGAAATCCACCACGACGTTAACTTTCGGAATTTAAGAAATAAAAATTAGAAGCTTGGCATCTTTCACCCTGTGTAGTCATCGCCCGGCATGTGCCATCACAGCTGGAGCAAAACGGTGCAAATCCTGATGCAAATCCTTTTGTTTTCCCTCCTTGTCTACGTGTGACTGAAGCACGGTGACAAGCTGGACCTAGGCTCTATTCTGTTGTCAGCTGGTTGGCTGTTTGCTAGCCTTGTCTTCAAAAATTTCCCGTGGAAAAAAAGCATTAGGTACTAGGGTGACACTTAAAAATTAGAGCAAACACAAATGACTGGGATTAAAATATGAGTGCGTAGCAGGAAGTTACCTTTGTTAACCCTGTCCCTGGAGGTACTTTGGAGCTGGTTCCACCAGGGCTTCTCATTCTCTTATTTTGAAGTATGACCTCAGTTCTGCACACAGATACTCAGTCATTCAGGGCTTTTTGTTTGCTTTAACTTGGTAACTGAGCACTGGTTTGACAGATTTTGTATCTGTTTTTGTATGATTTGCCAAGTTGCTCAGTAGAGGCTCCAGGACCTCCACGCCAGAGGAGTTTTTTCTGTTGATATGTGAGCAGTTTCAGGGTTGAGGCTGAAGGATAGTAATTTGCTACTTTTAAATCCATGAAAAGGCAGTTTGTCTTCCGAGAAGCCTACCTTCAAGACAGAGTTTCAATTCAGCGGGAATGTATCCCGCCTGCCTCATTCCATGAAATGAACACCCAGCAGCGGCCTGGGGTAAAGCAACATTAAACCCTTGTTTGGGCCGTCTGTAGGTTTTTATTAAATTTATTTGAAAACGTTAGTGGCAGTCAAAGCTGGTAAGGTATCTGTCAATCTTTTACGATAAAAATCTGAAATTCAACAGCACCTTATGCAATAGGAGCTTCAGAAGAGTGTTTTTAAAGCCTTTTGGAGTACAGCTAGTTTTACCCCAGGTCTAATTTGTCACATATCTTGTGCAAAATCTACCAGAAAGAAATGGTGTCCGTATTTCTTCACTGCCTGTGTGTATTTACACAGTTGGGCTCCAGAGAAGGGACTGGCTGTGAGCATGGCTAGTGTACTCAGGAGGGGTTGCTCTGGTGGATGAGAGGGCCCTTTATATCCTTGTTTTTAGCAACGAGACCTGCAGTTCACTGAAATTCAGAGAGCCAACCTTACTTGCTTTTCATGACGGGATTTTCTCCCAGGATGTCTCTTCTGCTCCCAGTTACACAGTCAGTGTCTCACCTGGATTCCTGGATTTGAAAAGCGGCAGAGTTGGGACTGCAGACCTACAAGTTTTCTCACTCTTCAAAATTTTCAATAACAGCTCCCAACCCAACTTCCCTGTTTAATGAGAACACAAAGAGGAGGGATGCTGAGCATACAGGGAAGAAAAAAAAAAACAAAGGTTGAGGTTGCGGTTTCTCTTGCAGAACTTCATTGTTCTGTCTATAGAGATGCAGTTCTTGCTGCTTGTTTCCCTTTTACTGTTATAACGAGGCCCCTGTGCACGAGCAGCACGTCTTTGCTCCATGCAAGCTCATTTTCTTCCCCCCGACCTGGAAGCTGGGTCAGTTGCCGTGAAGATGACTAAGAGAATTAATATGGAAGATTTAATAATATGAAGTGAAAATTCACCAGCAGGAGCTGATATAATCCTGGGTAATAAGAGATCCCGTGCTAAAACACAGAAACATCATTTAAAAAGGGGAGGAGACTTAGCACAAGGGAAAGATTTATCTCCAAACAGCTATTGCAAGGAATGCAGGAGCTAAACTGTATGAGTTCTTACTGCACTGAAATAGTTGGAAACAAGTGAGTTTCAGTGAGGGATTCTGGAGACAGAACTGAGACAGAAGTTGTATCCACAGATCACAGGAATACATGAATATATGGACCTGAATGCTGTTTTTTTTTTTTTTTTTTTTTCCCTCCCTAGGTTCTCTTTAACAGCCCTCCTACCCAGGAAAAAAAAAAAAGAAAGTGCTTTAAGATACAAGGAGAGTCAGGTTAATCTGAATTAAGGGAGAATTTTCCGGCTCTGGAGTTGGGTGTGCCTTCCCTGCAGCACCAGCTGAGCACCTAATAGGCACAAT